TTCACTTTGCTGTACAGTAGAAACTAACACAACATTTTAAAGCTACTATACTCCTATAAAAATTTTTTTTAAAAAATCTAAAAAAAGTGGTGATATGAGAAATATAGAAGGATTCCAAGCAAAGGGTCTTCCTCGGAAATTTCTTTGAAGTCTGAGAACAGGTAGAGTTATTGTATTTTTATGAAATGGATAAGATTAGAATTGTATGTGTAAAACAGCACCTTCTGGGAAAATATGTTAGATTGATTATAGGTATGAAAGTTAAGAGGAAGAATAAAGAAAAGATTTGAATAATCCAGTTTAGAGAAGTCAAGGATAATGGGGAAAAATAAATGTGACCAATTTGAGAAATAATATGGAAAATAGTAAATAAATATTACTAAGAATTCAATGGTACATCTGGATCTTCTCTTTAGGAATACGTGGCACATGTAATACATTTTGGAGGCATTAGCAAAGAATGGAAAAGCTTTCCATTCTTGATGGTACAATAGGTACCATCGCAGCCCCTGAATGTCCTGGTGACTCAGGGCAAGTCTCTGAATCTGTCTGGTACTGGTTCCCTCATCTGTGAAGGACAGAGATGAGATAGGTAATCTTGAAAGATTTTTCTAATGCTAAATAGACGTTATTCTAAGTAACCCTGTAGCCTACTATAGATACTACCCTTACTCATTTATATAATGAGGTGTAACTCACAAATAGTAAGTTTGTACATGCACAGATCTTATGTGCAAAGCCCCATGAATTTTTATGTGCATCTGAAATCACCACCAAATCAAGACATAGAACATTTCCAGCACCCCAGAGGTTTCCTTGTACCCATTCCCAGTCAATGCCCTCTTCTTAAAGGTAGTCATCTAATCTGACATCTATTCTAGTAGATTTGATTTGCCTGTTATTGAAGCACATCAACATGGAATCATACAGTATTCAATATATTATTATTTAACTTAGTTAATAGTGTCATTCAGGGACTTCCCTGGTGGTCCAGTGGGTAAGACTCCACGCTCCCAATGCAGGGGGGCCCGGGTTCAACCCCTGGTCAGGGAATTAGATCCCGCATGCATGCCGCAACTAAGAGTCTGCATGCCTCAACTAAGAGTCCACACACCATGACGAAGATCCCATGTGCCACAACTAAGACCTGGAGCAGCCTAAATAAATACTTAAAACAATAGTGTTATTCAAAATAGTGGTGTGTTGTTATGCAAATTTATGTGGTCTTTGTGTTTTATGCAAAGGTGGTTCCTGTAATTTTATTTATCTTGCTGAAAGCAACTTGGGTAATTTTCTTCCAAGTGAGAATATCCTCCCTTCTCAAATAGGACTGTCCAATTTTCACTCAATATCAGGATCCAGTTCAAGTTCACTGTCTCTGTGGAGCCTTTTCGTAACTATTCCAGTTCATGTTATTGCCTTGTTTTCCGACCTCTATGTAGTTCTTGGGCTATAATACTTAGCAAGGACATTAATCATACAGTACTTCAAATTATTTAACTGTTACACATATTCGTAGTGTCTTCTTTCTAAAAAATTGCATGTGCCAATGAAAAGACAGATTGATCTGTTACTTTTTAAAATCCCAGAATAATGTAAATACCACTGAATAAAACTGAGTGACCTGGGCTTCCCTAGTGGTGCAGTGGTTGGGAGTCCGCCTGCCGATGCAGGGGACACGGGTTCGTGCCCCGGTCCGGGAGGATCCCACATGCCGCGGAGCGGCTGGGCCCGTGAGCCATGGCCGCTGAGCCTGTGCGTCCGGAGCCTGTGCTCCGCAACGGGAGAGACCACAATAGTGAGAGACCCGTGTACCGCAAAAAAAAAAAGAGTGACCCTATGCATGTATGTATGTTTCTCTTTCAGTGAAACATAACCACTGTTTCAGAACGTAGGCTCTGGGGTCAGATAGCCTGAGAGTAGGTTGGGGCGACCTTCTACAAGCAGTGGGCTCATGAGCAATTGTTAAGTCTTGATTTTACCATCCTTAAAATTGAGTTCATGGCAGCATTTACACATGTATATACAGTGCTCAGCACTTTTTGTCTGGACTAGGATTTTCAATCTTATTCAATCTTAGCTATTGGAAAACCATCCTTTATATGTTGTCCTATCACATCTTATCTAAATGTTCTGGTTGTAGGATTGAGCTAGTGAATTGTGTTTAAATGCTTGTCCCTCAGAAAATTGTTTCAGAGTGACACCTTTTAGGTGATCAGTGAAAGAAATAACTTTCTTTCCCACTTAGGCCCCTATGTGTTGGTTTTAATCCATGCTACTAGCAGGAATTGCTTACATTCTGATGTAGCATTACCTGGGCTCCTAGTAGTTCAGTGCTGTGATAGGTGTGTTCGTGCAGTATTAGTTTTTTAGTAGATGACCTAGGTCCTGGGTAACAGCTTAATGGGTATGATATAAAATATCACTATCCAAATATCTAGAGTTGTTTTTTCTAAAAGGCTTTTTTTTTCCAGTAAAATCTTTGAAACTAATAAAATTAGAAGTAAAATATCAGAAAAAATATCGAACTGTGTTTTTCCGAGTGACTTTTAAGCACTTTCAAACTCAAGGAAATGAGATATTTATTTGTATCCAAAACTATAGTAATGAGTATACAATTTGGCTGAAAATTTTCTAGAGGAAAATTAGACGAGCATCTATTAAAAATTAATGCAATTCTCCTTTTGAGGATTATAATGGAAATGAATCTTATTCTTGCCTTCCTATATTCTTAAAGTACTGACCATTTTATATTGAGCCTTGAGATGTAGGTTGAGGGAAAGAAGAAGCACATCTCCACACACTGCTGTGGTCACAATACAGGGTGCAAACCTGTGCCATGGATCTCTTCCTAAATCAGCCTTATGCTCGTCTGCATACCATTAAACAAACAAACAAACAGTCCATTTTGCATGGACTTCCAGATGAATGTGGCTTTCCTACCATATTAAAGCTGATTGAATTCTGACACAATACTCCATTCTTCTCTTCTGTTCCAATTCCTAGGTATTTATATAGCAATTTTGGTCATATTTTGGTAATGATGTAGATTTATGGAGGATTATAACAGATGATTCATACAAAATCTTTTTTTTTTTCTTTCATTTCTGGAATCCTCTTGGCATGACTTCCAAAACTCAGCCACTAATAGAACATAAATACAGAGTGGCTATGTTTCTATTTCTAGAGAAGAGTAGAGTAACTATAGTACTGAGGTCCTGGGGGTGGTTGGATTTTGGTACTTCCAGATTGGCAAAACGTACTCATTTGAAACTTTTTAGGGTCATGTGCGTTCTGTGTTTATCTTGGTGATTTGTCAGAACATGGCTGGACTTCGGCAACTCTGTTTACATATACATTTTATATTTTTTCCTTTAAATTTTTCCTACTTTTTTTGGAGAGATTCATTTGTGTTCTAAAAACATTCTGGGAAGGTTGAGAATGAACAGGTCTAGAGCAAACACGTAAAACTTCTAGATATTGTTTTTGTTCAGCTTGCTGACAACATTTTCAAAACTCTTTCTCTAAAACATTGAGCCCTTGCTGTCTAGATGTTCACTGGGTAACATGGTATTAAAGTTGGAACTAGACTGCATTTTGATATTCTTGCAATGGAAGTAAATCTTTTGTATTTAAGGGAGAGAAGGATCTGTCCCAGTCTGTGGAGTAATACAGAAAAAAAAAAAAAAAAAAGACTACACCAACCTGAATATGTAAGTTTAAACTTGTCACTTAAAAGTGTTAATTTCGGGCTTCCCTGGTGTCACAGTGGTTGAGAGTCTGCCTGCCGATGCAGGGGACACGGGTTCGTGCCCCGGTCCGGGAAGATCCCACATGCCGAGGAGCGGCTGGGCCAGTGAGCCATGAGCCTGCGTGTCCGGAGCCTGTGCTCTGCAGTGGGAGAGGCCACGACGGTGAGAGGCCTGCATACCGCAAAAAAAAAAAAAGTGTGTTTTTCACCTTTTAATCTAAATTTGGAAACAGTCAATAACCAGCTTCCTTCATATTTGCAAAGAAAAACCAACTTACCTTTTTTAGAAACCGAGATTTATAATCTTTTCAACATTTACCAAATCTATACTGAGAGCCTGCTATGTGCCAGATGCTTTGTTAAGACCCAGAGACTTAGTGGTGAGCAGAAGAGATGCAGACCCTACTCTGGACTCCTGGAGCTTACAAAAGAGAGTCACACATTTTCTTCATGTCTTTTTTTTCTTTTGCAAAGCAATTTACACACTAATTACATACAATTGACTTTTCAATATAATATGTGTATATGTATGTTCTTATTTATATCACATAAATGATGACTGATTCAAGCATGTAGTGATTCAAAATATTATGCTTAGATTTTATGAAATGTTCTTTATAGAAAAGAAATCTCTATATTCTCAGTGTTTTTGAATGTTTATACTTTATTGCTGTCAAATAAAGATACAAATAATTGCTAAATAATGCTGTCTATAAATATTCATGACAAGACAGAATGTATATCCAAACTGTATTTTAAATACATACACTTTAATCAGAGGCAGACTCTAAAATGATAATTAATATAGCTGGCATTTGCATCAACAAAAGACATTTATAGAAGATGCTTTTATGAAGTTAAGCACAATTATAGCACATGTGGATGCTGGATAATTAAAATAAATTTTGCATAAGAGTTTACTTTAGAAATTGACACAGGGAAATATTTTCATTTCCATATGCTTTGAGTAATTTTATTTTAATATCTTTTTCTTCTGAGAAGTAGTTACTTCATTTATTTTTTATGAGAATTCAATATATTTAAATTTGTTCTTTTTCCAGATATATTAAGGAGCGAGCAGATACTGTAACTCTGAGCCGTATTTATTCCCAGCTGAGACATATTTAATCATGTTTGGTATTATATTGGTGGACTCGGCTTGGTTTGGGTGTTACATTCTTTAATTTCTGCGTCTCTGTTGACCAGATCAGGAGTGTTACATTTTATGCATATCTGCTTGGTAGACTATGTAAGGTGCCACCCAGTTAGTTCCCTCTTCTGGATTACAGGAATTGCTCTCTTACCTGCTGGGAATGATGTTGGAAGAAGGCCATCAGCTAGCAGCCCTTTTTGGGGACTGTGTCAAACTCCCTGCCCTGAGCAGCCCACAGCCACTGGCTGAGCGCCATGGGTGCGAAGGCCCGGGTGATCTTCGCAGCACCGTCTGGCTCTGGAGCTCCTGTGGGATCGCCCGAGGCTGTTGGGGGGTTGGGATTGCAGCGCTGGTCAATTTCTCTGCTACCTACTCCTCACTTCCATAGGTGTTGATGCCAAGAGCATGCCCAAAGGAACCCTCCATCTCAGAGGGTGCTGCCTGGGAAACTCAAGCTGTGAAATCCGCCCAGAAGTCCATGTCTTGATTGCAATGGCATACTGACAGTAAGTTCTAGCAGCTATTACTACATTGACATTTATTCTGGTCACTGAGTTGATGTCAGTAGTCATGAAGATAGAGCATCTTGATTTTGCTCAAATTTTCTAACTCTCTGTGACAGTCAGCTTCTTCATTCCGTCATGGTTAGCTGATGAATAAGATGGCAGGTAACTCCTCAGAAGAATAAAGCATATCTACAGTGATCACATTTTTCTTTATTGACGGTCTTCGTGCTCTTTTGACCTGCAGATTGAGCAGGCCGTGGTCTGCTTTTAAACAAAGGAAAAGATGAAACAGATGCGCTAGAACGTCCGAAACAGCTGTTGCCATGGAAGATGCTTCTTTTGAATTTTACATGAGGACGTTTACTCCCTCCTCGACATTGCAAAGTACAGGAGTGACTGAGGTAGCTGTAAAACTCCTAAGACCCCTTCCCCAGTTGAATGCACGGCATCGCTGTTTGGCATCTATTAGAAAGTAACGCCTCTGTAGCAAAGCAAGGAAAAGTCTGTGAATTATAATTGCTCACTGCAAACGTGTTTGATGATTAGCACAATCTCTCAAGCGAGCTGTAAAGAATAGAAACTGCACTTAGGGAGTTAATATAGCAATCCCACTGTTTCCCTAGGCAGTTTTTCCAGGTGCAACGTCTGCTCCTCTCAAACAAAACCTACAGTTTGGGAATAGAGTGAGCCGTGCGCATGGATCAGTGGTAAACCCAGAGAAGTGGGGCGCATCCAAGAGAAACAAGATGAAAAATTCGGCCAGGGACAGAAATCTGGACGTGCACCAAACAACTTTTCATCAGTGTGTCTGTCCGGGAGGAAACATTTTCCAGTGTCCTCCTTCCTTTTTTCTTTCAAAATGAGCTCAACTGCAGCGTTCCCAGGCGCTGTCACCCGCGAACTGCTTGAGGCGCAGAGAAACATGGATAAGTGATGCTGTTTGTTTAAGGTATCCTACATGCTCCGCCCCCTCAAGTCATTGTCAAACCTAATGAAAAGCCAGTTCTAACAAATTTCTCTGCAGTCCACGTGGAGATTTGAGGTTGTGATTTTCCTAATGGTGCAGGACTCGGGGTCAGGTGGACAGGGCAGATGTAGGGGGGAGAAAGCACTATGATATAGGCTGGTCTCTGTTAGGGAAAGGGCAGAATTTTTGGAACTCATTAACTGCTGTCTCTCATTCATTTAATTTGTTACTTATGTGCCTTCCAGCTTCAACTGTGGATGCCCTGAAGGCAGCTGCAGCAGGCCTGGTGCCAGCAGAGGACACATCCCTGAGTCCAAAGCCACCTGTCCACCAGAAATGTACCAACTCGTCTTCCAGATGCTGGCCTTAGTCTCAACCTGATGCTCTTGGGCTTAAGCGGATAAACTGCCCCTATCAGGTAGGAACAGTTAGAAGTCAGAGACAATGAAAACACACAGGGCTCAAGTGTTTTGCACCAAGCAGTGTTTACAGGAACAGGAAAGCTGGTGAGTCATCTTCTGTTTTTAAATGGGTACTACCAAGGATTCCTATGTGCACATCGCCACTCCATGCATTTACGTCGACCGAGCATTGCATATGAATGTGTTCAGAGGATGAACAGAGTACTGCTTACCAGTATTAATTACATTATTGAATGTATTATATAACTATAATAGAGTGATTTCAAAAGTCTCCTGAGAAGGTGGGGATTTAGAAAGAAATTTTGCCGTAGCTGTTTCATTTTTAACTACCTGGGCAATAGGGGGCCTGTTCCGTATTCAGAAGGCAGCAGGGGACGTGAGGGTCACCGTCATCAATATTCCTGAATTACAGCAAGCCGTCTGCAAGTGGCAGTTTGTTTAATAGGCCACGATGCAGGCTATAGCCCGAAATAATGGAAAAGAAGCAGGGCTCAAGGAGGAGAGAAAGGAAGAGAAGAGCAGTGATGCTGGTGGAGAATTCAGAAAGGGCTGTGTGGTTTTCTGAATGCTCTGTTGCTCTCCAGTGCGGGTGTTCCACGGATGATTTTAAAGTTATTTCATCCTGCTTCTCTGCAGGGTCCCTCAATTTGTCATCAGCAAACTGGTTGAGCATGCCTTCTGCATATTCATTCAAGTGATGTAAATATTGAACAGAAAGGGACCTATTGGTATGTGTCAAGGAATCTTCCTCTGGGGTGACACTGTTCCATTAATCAGTGTTCTTTGACATGGTTGTTAAAATATAAGTCCTACTAATTGCTTTAATTCAACTTGCATGTCTTATGTTACCTATGAGACCAAGACTTGCTGCGTGACTTGCTGAATGCACTTTGCCATTTTGGCAACTCAGCAGAATACAGTGTGAAAGCACAGACTTTCAAGCTAGCCTGCCTGGGTTTGAATCTGGGCTCAACTGTGTACTAATAGCTGTAGGTCCTTGGGCCAGTTACTTAACCTCTCTGTGCCTTAGTTTCCTTACTAGTAAAGACGATAGTGTATTCCTCATAGGCTTTCTGTGTGTATGAATGAGATGTATTACTGTGTATTCCTAGAACAGTGCTGAGTCTGTAGTCAGTGCTGTCCAAGTGTTTGCTGTCGTCATTGTCACCATCATCACCAAACAAATGGTGACCTGTCATAACTTTTTGGTATTGAACCTGCATTGCTCCCCGAGATCACTGTTCATTTCAAGGAGCACACAAAATAAAAGTTTAAAAATCAGTTCTAGAATTGTCCTGCAAAGCATCCCTCTTTTACAACACAAATTATATGAACTAGGAAATGCTCAATGGATATAAAATATGTAGTGAATATTAGATATTTAAACTATGTGTTCTCCCAGAATAAGGCATTAATAGGTTTTTCTACCAGTAGCTAAAGTTGTCACAATTGGGGAAAAGCATATGGTTCTGCCACAGCACTGTGTGTCCTTAAGTAGGTTACTTCACCTCTCTGAGCCTCAGGTTTTAATTTTTTTCTTTGTCTTCTTATGATATAAGAGTGAGAATATAAATTTATTGTATTTGTTTATTCCAAGGCAGTATATCGAGTAACTGATATGTATCTTACATAATCTAGGTCCTAGACACGTTTTATTCACGTTGAATAATGTGAAAGTCTTTGCTGTGACAACAGATATAAAAGTCATCTATACGTTAAGTGATAAAAAGCGCTGTAGGAATATAAAGCAGAATAAGGGGCTTAAGAGTGACATGGAGCAAAGGGCAGCAGATATGATAGCTTTTCTGACAGTGGATGTTTGCATATTTGAAAATTCTTAGTCATATATAACACTGTGAATTTTTGATGTGGAACTGAAAGTGAGGAAATCTCTTTTAAAACTGTCCACAGGCACTTGAGGTTCTTCCCCAAGTATCTTCTTCCTGGGGCTCCCATAGCACAGCTTGTGATGTGCTAGGGGCTGTTCACCTCCAGGTAAGAAGCATGGATGACCAGGTCCTCAAGAAAAGGGCGTTTGCCCATGTTTTCATGGCTTCAGCATCCCTTCATGGGAAAAGAAGATAATGATGCCTGTAATTATTTTATCAGTGAATTGTTTGCTTTGAAATCATTCCAAATAAACTTACTACCGGAACTGCCAATATTTTCCACGTAGACACTTTCATTCTCACCTTGAAACTCCTTAGCTGAAGCATCAGCAGTGGACTGGGTTACTTTCTTTTTACCCTTCAGAACTTTCTTCAGAGAAGTTGGAAATGCCCTTGGGCCTTTTCTTTTGTTGTAGCTTAGAAAGAGCCCGGTGCGACCAGAGACCGTGGCAACCGAAAGTGATTTCTGGGCTATTCGAAATACTTCATAAAAACTCCGGGAATACTTGACACCTTAAGTGCTGCAGATGTGATCTTAACATAGGGCTGCGGCTCGCCTGGCTAAGCCCTGTGCAGCACAATTGGATTTGTTCCTCAAGAAATGGCAGCAAGGCGCTGAAACGGTTCATAGTCTGAGCTTTGGTCAGAACTGGTAGGACTCCAAATTGTCCATGGCTGGTACCAAAGACCCCTTGCTGACAGGTCCTCCCAGCCTTATTGGGGCCATTTCATCTGTTTTGCCGGTCCTTATTCTTTTACGAAGAGCTCTCAATGTATAAGTCAAAAGTGGAGGTTGGACAGGGAGACGGGACCTGAACTCCGGCCTGTTTTCTTTATTTGCTTCTCAGACGGGCTTGTCTGGATTTCAAACCATGTTCATTTGCTTACTCTGGCTGAATTTCTTCTTTCTTTGGTTGATTAAGCCTTGATATTAGATCATAGTTTGTACACATATCATTTTCAGTGATTTCCAAAGAGGTCTTTCAGGGAATATTCCTAGCGTTCAGGGAACATTCTGGGTTTCCCCTCCAAATTTATAAGCCTTGTCAGTATCACCCAGGACTTGGAGGTCTGAACAGGCCTCCCATGTAGTACGTTCTCCTGGTTTTGCCCTTCGAATGTGCTCTATGGAATAGCCCCTGGGTTTTTAGATTCGACAGGGACATTAAACCCTGTTTCGGCTTAACATTTCTTGTGCGTGTAGTTGGGACAGATGAATGATATAAAATAATTGCTGCTGACTTTATAAAGTTTAAAGTTCTCTTACGTAGAGGAAATGTTTGAAAATACTTTAAGGTCTCAAATTTGCACAGCACTTGAGTAAGTCATCACCACCACTAGACCACCTACTCAGGTTCCGTGCTGTTTCTGAAAGTGCTTTCTATTTGGATTTTCAAAACTGCAAGTGGCATGAGGCAGAGTAAATAGTCATCGTCTGTTCTCTTCCAGGGTAAGATTACACGATGGTTGCTTAGGTGATGTCCTACGCAGACTCTGTGTGTAAACATGGATTTTAAAAATCTCCATAGATATACCCTGGGTCGGAGAGGTCGAAAATTCATGGTCTTGGTTTCTCCCAAAAGCGTACTGGCAAGCTTGTGGGTGATAGGAATGTAAACAGTGAAACAGACCTCCTACCAGTGGTGATCACAAAAAAAAAGAATGGATGCCTGGCACCCAAGGTACTGAAAGGCAAAACTAAGTGGAAAATGCCCCAGTAGGCGCATGTGTCTGCCAGTGCATCGTGCGACTCGGCTTCTCTTTCTGTGAGTTTCCTATTAACGTCATCAAATAATTATAACTTACCTCCTCCCTTTTCAGAACCGTCAGTTGATTCTATTCAATACTGAGTCATTTGGTGCTAAGTACCCGGGTCCTCTGTTGGTGCTCTGGGAGAGATAGGATGTTCTGATTTGGGTCTCAGCAATGCCTCTGTGGCTAGTCCGTCCTTACCCAGGTATTGGTGGTGTTGAGAGATAGAGAAACAGGGGACAGAGTTTGCAGATTTCCTTTCTCTTCTTTTCCTGGAGTGGCTACAATGAAGATAAGATAAACCAGCAACTCCTGTGCAAGGCATTCCCAGCTTCTCCAGTGGTGGAAAAGTGCTTCTAAAAGTCAATGACAGGGCTTCCCTGGTGGCGCAGTGGTTGAGAGTCCGCCTGCCGATGCAGGGGACACGGGTTCGTGCCCCGGTCCGGCAAGATCCCACATGCCGCGGAGCGGCTGGGCCCGTGAGCCATGGCCGCTGAGCCTGCGCGTCCGGAGCCTGCGCTCCGCAACGGGAGAGGCCACAACAGTGAGAGGCCCGCGTACCGCAAAAAAAAAAAAAGTCAATGACAGAGAGCAGCCAATGCCTATATCTGCTCCTGGTTAAACTTCCCTTAATTTCAACTCCAACAGCCTCTATACTCTGTCCCTTGTTTGCACTCAGTAAAAAAGCTTCTCTCTTACAAATGTTTAAGCTGCAAACTTTACGGGTATGAAAAACCCTACAGAGCCCAGCCAAAAACCTCACCTCTGTGAGGACCCAACACCCAGTGGCGTCAGGGGCTGCTTGTTGAAGGTTACTTTGAAAGTTCAAACAAGTAGATTGAGAAACAGCTTTTTGAAACCTAACAGATTCTTAAATAGATTGTAACTAGATTATAAGGAAAATCCCCAAGAAGCTATCTTTAAATTACTTCGTGTATAGTGTCCAAGAAATTTATGAAAGTTCATTCTCCATTTCTCCCTCCCTCCCACCACCCTTCCTTTTCAGATTCCCTCATTTGATTTATTCTCGTAATTGGATAAATGAGCCATTTTCCTGTTCTGTTAGAATGTCTATGAGATGGTAAAGAGAAAAAAAAGTTAATCAAATGGAAGAATTTGTAGGGGGATATTAGGTTCAGAAATAAATTATTTCAACATGTGAGGTTTTCATTGGGCTGCCAAAGAAAATCCATGCAGTAGGTCACAAGAATAGAATCAGTAGCTGGTAGGCTTAAATTTCCTGGTTTAGAAAAACTTAAGATGGGTGTTCAGCTATGACGTTTTCTAAGTTGGGTGGTTTGCAGTAGAGTATGTACTTACAAGTATAATTTCAAAAGATAGATTTTTGGCAAACTTGATTAGAAGTGAATTTAACATTATTAGTCTTTGCATTAATAAATGATGTTTATCTATATTTGACAGTATTTTTTTAAATATTTTAAATTATAAATACTGAGCTAGGAGAAAGGAAATTGAATTATAGTAATAATTTTGTCACTAACA